CATAAATAAATAGCAATGCCTAGGTATTTTCTTTGTAGCTTTATAAATGTGATATATATATGTGTGTGTGTGTATATATATATATTTATATATATGTATGTGTGTGTATATGTATGTGTGTGTGTATATATATATATATATAGAGAGAGAGAGATACAGATATCTCCTCTTCAGGACTCTTTAGATTTGCCTTTTGGAGCTATTTTCTAGATCTTATAAGCCTGCTTAATTTTTTTTTATTTCCTCTGACTGTATTTTCAGTTAGCCTATATTCAAGCTCACTACTTCTTTCTTCTCCCTTATCAATTCTGTTATTGAAAGACCCTGGTGCATTCTTCAGTATGTCAATTTAGTTGTTCAATTCCAGAATTTCTGCTTGATTTAAAAATAATTATTTCTATGTCTTTGGTAAATTTCTCTGATAGGATTCTGAATTCCTTTTTTGCATTATCTTGAATTTTGTTGAGCTTCCTCAACCTAGATATTTTGAATTCTCTGTCTGGAAAGTCACATATCTCTGTCCCTTTGTGATTGGTCACTGGCACCTTGTATAGTTTGTTTGATGAGGTCCTGTTTTCCTGGATAGTCTTTACGTTTGTGGATGTTTGTTGATATCTGGGCACCAAAACGTCAGGTATTTATTGTAGTCTTCACGGTCTAGGCTTGTTTTTACCCTTCCTGCTTGAGATGGCTTTCCAGGTATTTGAAGTTACCTGGGTGTTGTTATCTGTATAAGTCATATCTGCATCTGGGTAAGTCATATCTGCATCAGGGGTATCCCAAGACCAGTAATGCTGTGACACTTGCAGTATTCTGCCTTGGTGGTCTTGGGTATGATCTGAGAAAATTATTTGGATTACCAAGAAGAGACTCTTGTTCTCTTCTCTTAATTTCCCCCAGACAAGTGGAGTGTTTCTCTCCATGCTGAGCTGCCTTGAACTGGAGTAAAGAGTAACACAAGCGCTCCTGTGCCACAATCACTGGAACTGTGCTTGGTCAGACATGAAATGAACATGGCACTCAGTCTCACCCAAGCCCTGTGGCAAGCACTGTCTGGCTACTGTTGATGTTTGTTCAAGACCCAAGGGTTCTTTAATCGGCAAATGATGCATCCTGCCAAAACTGTGTCCTTCCCTTCAAGGAAGTGGGTTCCCTTCTGGCCCAGGGTATGTCTGGAAATGTCATCCATCTGGGAACTAGGGCCTAGAATGGGAGGCTCGGGACTCTGCCTGTTGTCCTATCCTACTGTGTCTAAGCTGGTCTCAAAGTTGCAAGAGTTTTCTTTACTCTCCCCTCTCCTCTTTTCAAGCCCAAGGAAGTCTCTCTCAGAGCTTTGATCTGCACTACCTGGGGCTGGGGGATGGGTGACATAAGTGCTCCCTTGGCCACTGTAGCTAGTCACTCTTCTGTATCACTTCTGGTTACTATATGATGTTTATTTCACATGCAATGCTCCATTTATAAAATAGACATCATATTTATTTTATGCATTAAATAGAATGTTTATGTTTCAGTCAAACTTGGCATTGTGCTAGAAACATAACTGCATTTTATTTTTAAAACTTACAAAGTGGTTTTATTCTTATAGTACCTTATGTGATTCTTTCAACAGCTCTATAAGGTAAGTCAAATATTACCCTTCTTTTAGAGATAGAGAAATGAGATTCACAAGAGGTCTTTCCTCATATAACAGAGAAAAATAATGTGAACTCAGTTTTCTCACCCTAATGAGGTGCCATAAATGATATACCATATAACATCATGTGATATAACATATGCCATCTCAAGATATAAATTTCATAGTGTATGATATAATGTCTCAGATTAATAGAGAGGGCATATAGCAAATGTTTTACATAGGATATTAAATCTTTATTAAGAAATATAATGTACTATTTCATAAGAAGGCATACTTATATTTCTATTAATAACTATATCCATTAAAACAAAAATGCCAAAATTATCTGTTAGAAAGTAAAATAAGAAAGGCTTAAAAACTTTCCCATTTCCAACTATTTCCTTTTCCGCATTTTGATCCTGAGGGTGATTACAATGTCCTAATTTCTATTTTGGTAAGTAGGTTTTCAGCAGGGTTCCCCAGAGCCCCAGCAAGCTCAGGCAGATACAAGAGCAGCTGCATTCAGAAAAGTGTTAGACACCAAGGAATTGATCTGAATTCCTTTTTTACAGCCATTGCTTCAGTTTATTCAACAACTTTTGGAGACCAAATCCATTAACAAAATGTCATGATATCATTTTATTTATTCTAACTGTTATTTTCAAAATCAGAAAAAAAAGTGAGATTAGGTATAATTCTTTAGAGTGCATGATGAATATTCAATTTGATAACTCTTCGTTCATTCCAATCTAAAGATACAGACTCTCACTTTCAGAAGAATATAGCTATTGGTATTACAGGGAAAAGTTACATGGAGATCAGGCAAATAAAGAATTAATTTTAGAAATTGATAACCCTTCGTATATTAAGAGGAAGAACAGCTTTTCTTCATACTGATGTTTTCTACTAAGTCATCTATTAAAAACCCTTGACTTTATTATGAGAGGATTTGTCATGGACAGTGGCATTAATTAAAACCCTTCATATCATGTGTCAGGATTAATTTGTCCATATCCATTAAAATCTCACTTTAAAATGATAGAAAATAATTTTAAAAGTATCATCTAGGCTGGGCACAGTGGCTCACACCTGTAATCTCAGCACTTTAGGAGGCCGAAGCAGGCAGATCACAAGGTCAGCAGTTCGAAACCAGCCTGGACAACAGGGTGAAATCCTGCCTCTATTAAAAATACAAAAATTAGCTGGGCATGGTGGCAAGTGCCTGTAATCCCAGATACTTTGGAGGCTGAGGCAGGAGAATTGTTTGAACCTAGGAGGTGGAGGTTGCAGTGAGCTGAGATCGTGCCATTGCACTCCAGCTTGGGTGAGAGGGCGAGACTCCATCATAAGAAAAAAAAAAAAAGTTTCATCTAACATAACTGGAATACCACAGATATTGAACTCCAAAACAGTGTAATCTGGGGCCCAACAGGGAAGATCATTAAAGACGATTGTTTCTGTATTTTTAGTTACTATATGAGAGGTTGCATCTTCAACCTGTGTGGCAAGATGGCTACAGCCCTTATAGAATTATATTCAGAGAGGTCAACATCCATAGGAAGGGGTAGGGTGGTCTTTTTTCATCTTTCTTGGGAGTGGGGAGACTTTCACCAGACTAATCCCCACCCAAGTGACTTTCCTCCATGATCAGAATTGTGTCACATGAACATTTTTCTGGATAGGTGAATCATTGGCATGGGTGAAATGGGTGCTGGAAAGTAATCTCAATGTCCATCACATGCTATATTTTAGAGTGTTTCTTTGAATCAGAGTAACACAGCTCTATACTCAAAGCAAGATGAGCAGATTAAAGGAGGAGCCGGCCAAGTTGAAGGTAGTGCAGGTTTAATGTAGAGTATCGAAGCATATGGCCATTAAAAGTCATGGTTAGACCCACAATGATGCTACGGTGTTTTCTAAAGATGTGGAAGAAACTTAGAAGTCTAGTTCGTCATGGGCACGGGCTTCCTGAAGCATGCCCCTTTGTTAGCAGCAGCATATAAGGCCATATCGATATTCTAGAGCACGAGAAACTAAAATCCTTTACTTTCCTTTGGATGAAAAATCTACCTCTTTCAAACCACAGGATTTATAGAGAATGAGAAACAGTGTTAAAAGTTTCTTTTCTTTAATTCTTATCAGCTCTATGTTTTTGTGTTAAGTACCACTCACTTAGAGGAAATAAATATCCTTAGTTCACCTGAGAATAAGAAAACAGGTCTCTAATCAGACCAATACAAACATAAGCTCCTTTTGATGCCAACAGGCAGAGCAGTTTAATAATTAGTCTCCCAACTCAACCCATTTCAAATACACAATGAAGCAAAAAGAGAACTGAAGCTGCTCACATTCTCTGCTGAAGCATGGATTGAATTGGGACTGGGAATGAAAGTGAGAAGGTTAGTGGGTACAGAAGTGGGCAAAATATAATCAGGGAAAATATTGCCTGAATTGAGGGAACTGATACTTCAGATAGCAAACTAACTTTCTGCTGAGTAACACTGGCATATAAATAAAGAAACATTTTTATGAGCCATCTGGATGCCCACATCATGTTACCAAATCATGTCAAACTAATTCACCTTATGACGTGTATATTTTAACTCTTTAACAACTTATTTAGACTTAGCCTGGAATTATGATTTTTTAATCTGAATTCAGCTGCCAGTTCTTACAGTTATACTACTTTGGGATAAACATTTCCTTTTTTCTCAGTTTAAGACTAGCAAGTGATAGGCAATATTAATTATTTTAGTGCATTTTAATGGAGAATATAAGATGAGAATATCCAAAAAATTAGACCATTGGTTTTAGAATGATAGAATGTGCTCATTGGTGTGAATATGATAGAAAGACACAAAATAGCACCAGGTGGAATATAATTATTATTGCTATTATTAATATTTGATTAATATTCAAGTCTCTCACCAGGACTGGGCAGCAACAAATTCTTCATTCTCATTGTTTTCCAGAATATTTTTTAATATTTCTTAAGTATTAAGCTCTTTGTTTTTAGCTTGTAAAATATCTTGTACAGTGATATAAAGGGGGTAGAGTAGAACCCTACACTTGAATTATTCAGTTTCTCAAATAAAGTTTTACTTACTTCAAAGTTATGAAGAAATAAGAGGCAAATAATATGAAGAAAACGGTGAACATGACCCTGAGGGGACACTGCTTATTTCCGTCTTTGTTTCTGGGATTCTAAGTATTTCCATAAAGAAATCAAATTTTCCTTTTTACCGTAAAGCCTCATTTCAGTACTTGGGGTTTTGGTGGAAGTGGTTGTGTAATTTTATTATCTGAAAAATAATGGTGCTGACTATATAATCCCTTAAAATAACTTATTTTTTAAGTAGTTAATATGAGGATTTTTTCTTAGAGGATAAAAGAACTGAGAACTACATAATGAATTGCAGAGAGGAGTATGGTGGAGAATTATAGTGTGCCTTGCATCCGGAGACTAAATCCCAGTGAAAACTTCTGAGGAGACATGGCAAATACTAGAGGGAGGAAGAAGTCATGAACAACTTGCTGGATGAGGTGAGTTTTCACTGCTACAACATAAGATTAATTTGTAGAAGACTAGCCTTTCCAAGTGGCCACTTAAATTTCTACTTCGATGTGTAATTGTAATTTAAAACTGCACATGCCCAAAATTAAACTCTTGCCTTACTTCACTTTCAAAATGACTTCTCTTCTAATCTGCATTTGAACAGATGAAACAGCATAGCATCAGCCCAAAACCCAGGAGTTGCTCAATCTATTTTTCTCATGGTTGACTTCCAATTCATGTAAACTCTTGTGATCTCTATCTTTAAATCACATTGTGAATTTGACCACTACTCACCCTTTCTACTTGTTAACACATTAATCTACCATCTTCCCTTATCTAGATTATTATAATTCCTGAATTAACTTCTCTATTTCTATGATTTCTTCCTAAAGTCAATTTTCCAAATAAAATTTCAGGTCATCTTTTAAAAATGTATATACAAACAGTTCACTCTCCTGATCAGAACCATAATATGGAATAATAAGAAGAAAAGTACTCTAAGTTCTGAGACAGTTGTCTATCACCTGCCTCCTTCTTAACTCTGTGAAAATCTCTCTCGTCATTCTCTCCCCTCGTTCACTCTGGTTTGGCCCTCTTCAACATCAGCCCTCTTGCTATTCTTTAAATGTAAAAGTTTATTCTTAGCCTTTTTTACTTCCTCTGTAAGGTTCTCCTCTTCCTTAGATTTATTCACATCTCTACTTCCTCTTAACAAAAGCCTTTATGTTAAGGTGGTCAGTTAAAACAGTAATAATCAATAATGTGAAACTTAAATTTCTGGTCAAGATAGATTATCAGGAACTATTATCCCCAAACAAAAACAATTTATAAAACAGACAAAATGTATAAAAATGGCTTTCAAATTATTGGACATTAGGCAACAAAGGACAGTAATTTATAAGATATAGGAAAAAAATGAGAGAAATCTTATAATTTCCATTGCTTAATTCCTCTAATAGCACATAATTTACATTAAAGGGTGGAGAACTTAGGCAGAGTCACTCAGTGAGCCAAAAAGATGGAGCCAGCATTCTGTGGAAGCAAGGGTGGTGAGAGTTAATAGGATAAAGTGCCAGAGAGAAGAAAACTACACAGGGATAAGGACAGAGATCTCTACAAGATTCTCTTCAAGTATTTAGTTAAGTACTGATCAGCACCATAAAACTACCCAAGGTCAGAGAAAGAACCATCTGAAAAAATTAGAAAGAACAATGACCAGCTCTCACAAAAGACAGGAATAGAACCTGTTTTCAACAATCAGAGTAGAGACCTGACAATTCACAATAAATTAGTTGGACTACTAAAAAGGTCTTGCCTTAGTAGTAGAAAAACTTAAACCTGGAATAAAAGCGACTCTGCCCTCTCCTAACAAATCATAAAAGCAAAACCCAGAAGTATCAAACTGTTTCCAAGTAACCATATAGCAGAAAAGAGTTAATATTTTTAGCAATACAAAATATATTCAGCATTCCAAAGAGGCAAAACTCACAAGGACTTGCATCTAAAAAAAATTACTAGAAGTGCAAAGAAGCAGTAAATTATGGCTTACAATAAGAAGAAATGTTAGTGGAAAGGTAACCGGAAATGACAGAGATGATAGAATTTGTAGACAATGAAATTAAAACAGACAACTGTATTCCAAATGTTCTTAAGCTAGAAAAAAGACTGAACATGATATAAGTAGAGACATACAAAATAGGCCGGGTGCGGTGGCTCATGCCTGTAATCACAGCACTTTCGGAGGCTGAGGCTGGTAGATCATTTGAGGTCAGAAGTTTGAGACCAGACTGACCCGTATGGTGAAATCCCATCTCTACTGAAAATACAAAGATTAGCCAGATGTGGTGGCGTGCACCTGTAGTCCCATCTACCGGGGAGGCTAAGACAGGAGAATTGCTTGAACCCAGGAGGCAGAGGTTGCAGTGAGCCGAGATCGTGCCACTGCACTCCAGCCTGGGCAACAGAGCGAGACTCTGTCTCCAAAAAAAAAAAAAAAAAAAAAAAAAAAGAGAGACACATAAAAAATACATTGAAGAAACAAATCAAACTTCCAGGAATAGAAATTACAATGTTGGAGATACAATATACTACATGGAATTAATGGCAGATTAGACATTGCAGAAAAAATACAACCTTTGAATATGAAGGCTTAACAATGGAAACTTCCCAGAATAAAACATACAGAGAAACAAGAATAAGGAAAAATAACCAGAGAAACAATAAGCAGTTGGACAACTTAAAGCAGTCTAACAACGCATTTAGTTAGAATCCCTGAAGGAGAATAAAGGGAGGGGAAAACATAAACATAAAATTATGTGTGTGTGTGTGTGTGTGTGTGTGTGTGTGTGTGTGTGACACAGTGGCAGAAAATTTTACAAATTTGATAAAAGTTATAAAGTTATAAATCCAAGAAGCTCAGTGAACCCTAAGCGTAAGAAAAATGAAGATAACTATAGCAAGGAACATCATAATTATATCATATTTTTTAAAACTAGTGATATAATTTTTAGGTAATCAAATGAAAAAATAAACAGTTTGTATAAAGAAAAAGAGAAAGCTGGCAAATTTTTCATTGAAAACATTGCAAGTAAGGAGACAGTTAATCAACTTGTTTAAGTCAAAAATGAGGGAAAGAAGTCTGCTGTCAATAGCTCTATTTAACATACACTGAAGGTTTTAGTTGGCACAGTCAGTTAAGAAAAAGAAGTAACACATGTCCAGGTAAAACAAGAAGTAAAACTGTCTTTATTTGCAGATAACAAGACCATCCATAGAAAAAATGTGACTTATTCTACAAAAAGGCTACTAGAACAAATCAGTGAGTTTAACAATGTTGTAAAACGTAAGATTATTATGTAAAAAACATTTCTACTTCCATAAACTAGTAAAGAACAATTGAAAATTGTAATTATATACTGTTATTTACAATAGCACCACAAATATGAAATACCTAGGATAAATCTAGCAAAAGATGTGGTTGATCTATAAGTGGAAAACTGTAAAAATTTGCTGAGAGAAATTAAATTACTTAAATAAAAGGATAATATACATTGTTCATGGATAGCAAGACTTGATACAATTGCAATGCTAATTTTCTCCTAATTGAACTATAGAGCCAATGTAATCCCAATCAAAATCAGAGTGGATTCTTTTGTAGAAACTGACAAGCTAATTCTAGAATTCATATAGAAATGCAAAGAATATAGAATAGATTGCACAACTTTTAAAAAGAACAAAATTAAAGAACTTACACTACAAGACTTTAAAACTTACCATAAAATTACTGTAATCAAGGTAATATATTAACATTAAGATACTTGGATTAAGGGAAGAGAATGGAGTTGAGAAACAGATTTATACATATATGATTAATTGGTTTTTGGTAAGGTTACAGAGATAATTCTATCGAAAAAAGTAATGTTTTCAACAAATTGTAATGAAAAATGTGAATACCCATATGCATAATTCTATGCTTCATATCATATACAAAAATTAGCAAAATATATATTATAAACCTAAATGTACAACCTAAAACTAGTACTTCTAGAAGAAAACACGGGAGAAATTTTTTTTTTTTTTGAGACGGAGTCTCGCTCTGTCGCCCGGGGGCTGGAGTGCAGTGGCCGGATCTCAGCTCACTGCAAGCTCCACCTCCCGGGTTCACGCCATTCTCCTGCCTCAGCCTACCGAGTAGCTGGGACTGCAGGCACCCACCACCTCGGCCGGTAGTTTTCTGTATTTTTTAGTAGAGACTGGGTTTCACCGGGTTAGCCAGGATGGTCTCGATCTCCTGACCTCGTGATCCGCCCATCTCGGCCTCCCAAAGTGCTGGGATTACAGGCTTGAGTCACCGCGCCCGGCCGAAAAATTTTTGTAGTATGAAATTAGGCAAAATTTTCTTAGATATGACCCCAAAAACATTATATATAAAAGGATAAATTGATAAATCGGACTTCAAATAATAACTGTTCTTCAATAAGCATCTTTAAGAAAATGAAAAAGTAAGCCATGTATCGGAATAAAATATTTTTAACTATATATCTGATAAAATATTTGAATCCAGAATTTACAAAAGTTTTTAAAACTCAAGAATACAAAAATTCATTTAAAAATGGACAAAAGGTGTCAATGGACACTTCATCATAAAAGATGCATGGGTTAAAATATTAAAAGATACTAAACTTCATTAGTCATTAGGGAAATACAAGTTTAACCTACAATGAGATAATACTCTACTTTTGATAGAATGGGCAAAATTGAAAACCAGCCACACCAAGCAGAAGTTAGTATGTAGAGCATGTAGGGTTATGTCAAGGTGACCTGTTATAACTTTGATTTCATGTTCTAATATTCCTCACTAGAAGATGGAAATACAATCGATTTTTGTGATGAGATCTAGTATTCTATAACTTTGTTAACTTTTCTTAATATCTCACTTATTTTTGTTGCTGTTGTGGATTCCATAAGGTTATCTACATCTACCTGCTGTTTTGGAAAGTATTTCTAGGCTTTATCTAGGCTTATTTGTAGAGTGGTTTGTGTCATCAATGATATCTGTCAGTGACACATAAGGAAGCAGGGGGAGCAAACACATAGCTCTTTTTATTCCTAATTTATGCTAATCCCCACTTCATATAAATAAGAAAATTAAGTCTCAGAAAGGTGAAGTGATACACCTAAGTATGGTAGAAGTAAACCAACTTGTGTGCATTCTTCTTTAATTTAAGTGCAGTTTTTAGTATGTGGCCCACTAACTTCTCCTCAAAGTCTTGCTGAAATCTTATTTTTCTTCAGAAATAATTCAAGCCTAGTCTTCCCAGATAGAATTGTTTTATCCTTTTCTTGTGGATACATTGTCTCCTTAGATCATATCTATATCACGACCCATATCTTAGTATTTATTTCATTTACTACAAGGCAATCCTTTTAGGTGGGAAGTGTGCATACACACTAAACAATCTTTAACTCTTAAACAAAGTGTTATTCCTTATAGAGATGTCTATGTGGTTTAAAAAATAAGCAAACCACAATAATAACAAAATCCCAGAGATTAAAGGGTACTGATCACACACTACCTTATAAGGTATCCATTGTAAAGAACAATCTCCCTTCCTTTACACTAATTAAATTGCTTTAATATAATAGAAACTCACTGAATTCAAACGTATTTTTAAATATTTGGAATATAAATTCCTTATGAACCAAAAAATTGAACTTCTAATGTTAGAAAACCCACACTGAAGCAGGCTAGTGAAAGGCATATTTTTAGCAGGTGGCTTCCCAATGACACTAAAAATGAGGTTTTGCAGGCAGCCATCTGTTTCTCCTCCTCATCAATCTTCCTACTTTGTACCCTCATTGCAAATATGTGCTACTATGGGTCTAGACTTCTCATGATTTAATGGATACTACTTACTACTACTACTACTACTAATAAAATAGCAATAACAATACTTATTTAAAGTTTAAGTAAGGGAATCATACATACTATACATGACTAGCAAAACTGCTTATGTCATTGGCCTATGTTGTCAATCTATTGATCTGCATGAGAGAATTTTTAAATATAACTGAAATATATAAATTAGGAACCTTTAAGATGCAAAGAAGTACACAAAACAGACACCAGTTTATGGGGTGAATAAAAAAAAATTCAAAACTAACTAAAGGCCACTTTTGTTCTACAATATTACATATGCATGAGGAAATAGAATACACATTCAGACGAATAAAGAAAGTGTACACCCAGGGTATTGTGAATATCAGCAAGCGGCGAACTAGTCTTTGCTGCAGGATATCTGTGCATTTATTTTTACCAAAGCCAGGAGCTGACTTTTGTCATTGCCCATACCACACCCTCAGAAAAAAAAAAAAAAAAAAAAAATTGAGCTGAAGAGTTCCAGTAAAAAGAATTATAAAGTATATAGATCATCACTTTATCAAGGTTGGTCACCTTCTTCTCTCTCTCCTAAACTCTACTTGTGCTGCTCTTGCACATAAAACAAATGAAAATTAATTTCTCCACAGCTTAGTTTGATAGAAGGAAGAAGAGCTTTGTTAATAATAAATCTGGGGTCAATTCTTGGGGCTCAGTGTTTTAATATCCTTATTTTCAAAATTTGGATGATAATATCTGTTTTGCATGTATTATGAGACTTATAAACAATACGGAACAAAATCCTTAAAACTATTAAGCAAGAGCCGGGCACGGTGGCTCACGCCTGTAATTCCAGCACTTTAGGAGGCTCAGGCGGGTGGATCACGAGGTCAGGAGATTGAGATCATCCTGGCCAACATGGTGAAATTCCATCTCTACTAAAAATACAAAAATTAACTGTGTGTGGTGGCATGTGCCTGTAGTCCCAGCTACTCAGGAGGCTGAGGCAGGAGAATTGCTTGAACCTGGGAGGCGGAGGTTGCAGTGAGCCAAGATCATACCATCGCACTCCTGCCTGGGTGACAGAGCAAGACTCCATCTGAAAAAAAAAAAAAAAATTAAGTAAACAAAGCAATAGCAGTATATGTTTTTTGTTCATATGAGAGCTAATGGAAGGTTACAGAATTACTTGGAGAGCCAGTATTTCATTTTCATTGTTATTTTGTTCTCCTTTCCAAGCCCTCAAATGCTATAGCATTTGGCTGTTATTGGCCTTGAATAAATGTGTGGTATATGGTGTTGGCCTACAGCAATGTTTGTGAGTTTTCAGTTACAGAGTAAATTTACTCCTTCATAATGCAGGTGCCAATGTACAAGGTCAATGGCAACATTACAAACTCCCCATGTGAAAGCTATTGAACTGTATTATCCGTCACTAAGTACAGTAGGAAATGATTCGACCTTTCCTTGAATAGTAGTTACTGAACAAATTACTTTTCAGCTTGAAAATAATTGCAGATCTCAGATGCCCATTTAACCTGCTGTCTCCTAAATTTACGCCAATCTTTCATGCTCCTGTTGCTGCTATCGATAATGTACCAAAATAGCATGTGGTAATGAGATGACAGAAGGCTTTGGATTTTAGACAACCTAAATTTAAACTCTGGCTCTTGGCCAGGCATTATCTCAGCACTTTGGGAGGCTGAGATGAGAGGATCACTTGAAGCTGGGAGTTTGAGAACAGCCTGGGCAAACAAAGCAAGGCCAGCATCTCAACAAAAAATAAAATTAATTAGCTAGCATGGTAGTGTGTGTCTGCATTCCCAGCTACTCAGGAGGCTGAGGCAGGAGAATTGCTTAAGCCTAGGAGGTCAAGGCTGCAGTGAGCTATAATGGCATCATTGCACTCCAACCTGAGTGACAGAGCAAGTCCCTATCTCAAATAAAATAAAACCAAAATAAAATAATAAAAATAAACTCTGGTTCCTTTTCTATCTTATTAATTGTATGGTCTTTGTCAAATTACTTTCCTCTATCTTAGTACTGATTTGAAGTTTAAACAAAATATGTTTTAAAAATACTGTGCTCAGCTTCAGCTCCAGGATGTAAAGAACTTTAATGTCATCACTGAAGGATTTTGCAACAAGAAAAAGTTGAATAAACTTAAAAATAAATGTATTTTGTGGACCCATCAGAAAACTGAGTTTGCTGGACAGACCACCAGTCCCAAATCTGGAAAGGTTGGCACATCTAAAGAGACACTGCTGAGATGTGCTTACCTGGAGCAGAACTTGCTGGGGCCATAACAGGTAGGGACACTGAAATGGTTATCTTGATGAATTGCTGGAGATTGAGTTTGCATTAGCCTGAGAGTGAGAATGTTGCAGTCACTGCAGTTTAGTTGCCTCACACTTTCATAGGCTGTAACACTATGAAATGCATTA